GCGGCGTCCTGGCCATGCCGCCGCTGGGCAGGAAGGTCTCGCGCGCCGCCTGGGTCGGGGACCGCGCCCTGGAACGCAAGGACTCCCTCGCGGGGCCCCTGAACACGCAGGAGTAGCTCGTCAAGCCGGCGGCGGCGTTCCTCGAGAACGCGTCGGAGACGCCGTCGAGCCTCTGCGGCGTCCTGGCCATGCCGCCGCTGGGCAGGAAGGTCGCGCGCGCCGCCTGGGTCGGGGACCGCGCCCTGGAACGCAAGGACTCCCTCGCGGGGCCCCTGAACACGCAGGAGTAGCTCGTCAAGCCGGCGGCGGCGTTCCTCGAGAACGCGTCGGAGACGCCGTCGAGCCTCTGCGGCGTCCTGGCCATGCCGCCGCTGGGCAGGAAGGTCTCGCGCGCCGCCTGGGTCGGGGACCACGCCCTGGAACGCAAGGATTCCCTCGCGGGGCCCCTGAACACGCAGGAGTAGCTCGTCAAGCCGGCGGCGGCGTTCCTCGAGAAGGCGGCGCCGACGAAGTCGAGGTTCTGCGGCGTCCTGGCCATGCCGCCGCTGGGCAGGAAGGTCTCGCGCGCCGCCTGGGTCGGGGACCGCGCCCTGGAACGCAAGGACTCCCTCGCGGGCCCCCTGAACACGCAGGAGTAGCTCGTCAAGCCGGCGGCGGCGTTCCTCGAGAACGCGTCGGAGACGCCGTCGAGCCTCTGCGGCGTCCTGGCCATGCCGCCGCTGGGCAGGAAGGTCTCGCGCGCCGCCTGGGTCGGGGACCACGCCCTGGAACGCAAGGATTCCCTCGCGGGGCCCCTGAACACGCAGGAGTAGCTCGTCAAGCCGGCGGCGGCGTTCCTCGAGAACGCGTCGGAGACGCCGTCGAGCCTCTGCGGCGTCCTGGCCATGCCGCCGTAGGGCAGGAAGGTCGCGCGCGCCGCCTGGGTCGGGAACCACGCCCTGGAACGCAAGGATTCCCTCGCGGGGCCCCTGAACACGCAGGAGTAGCTCGTCAAGCCGGCGGCGGCGTTCCTCGAGAAGGCGGCGCCGACGAAGTCGAGGTTCTGCGGCCCTGGCCATGCCGCCGTAGGGCAGGAAGGTCTCGCGCGCCGCCTGGGTCGGGGACCACGCCCCGGAGCGCAAGGATTCCCTCGCGGGGGCCCAGAACACGCAGGAGTAGCTCGTCAAGCCGGCTGCGGCCTCCCTCGAGAAGGCGGCGCGGCCGTCGGCTGGCCGCAGACGTCCCAGACGTCGCGGCGCATCGACGCGGGCAGCACCGGCTCCGCGAGCAGCTCGAGCCGCTGCTGCCGCACGACCTCCTTCACGTCCAGGAGCGTCGACGTGAGCTGCGACTGCTCCATCGTGTCGAGGCAGCCCACAGGATTCGTTTGTCGATGACAACATTGCGTGCACAATTTGTTCAACAAAGCGTGTGCATGGAGTCCTGTAACGCGTGGGAGCAGCCCCGATGCGGCGCCGCGAGGCTGCTGGAGTGCTT